ACACAATTTATTGACAAAACACCGAAACTTACAAATGAAATAACAGTTCACTGCAAACCATAACACAAATCACGTGATAAGCACACTATGAGTGCGCCAAATATAAACGCATAGAAATATAGCAATTTTTATATTGTTTATTGATTTTAATTAAACTAATATTAATATAATACAGTACTGTATGTTAATCACAAGTATAATACTTTAATAATGTTTATATGTTTTCGCGTTTTGTTTGCGTCATTAACATTTGTTAAAACTGTGAAAAATAGATAAACAAATAACACGTGATTTGCACGCTTTGGTTGATTCAACCAAAACGCCTATTAATAGAAATAAATACTAAATTTATTTAAATCGCGAAGTAATGTAAGGTTTCGTAATTAAAATAAATTGTTTCATTCAAATCGAGTAATTAAATGTAATTTAAATTACAAAACAATTTTTACATTATAATTATCTGTTTGAGTAATAAATCTGTCATTAGTTTATGGTCTGAATTACAGTCTGTTTTGCGGTTATATTCCTATGAATTCCTATCAATCGACTCATTATTATTACAATTATTGTTTAATTAAATGATATTATCATCAAATAGCTCGTGGTTTACATACAATACAAATGAAAACATTAAAACATTATTAATGTATATAAAAACATGAGTTAATTGGAGGCATAAATATAGCCATTAATATAAGAAATGAAAATCAATTTTTATAGATTTTGTATCCATCGGTAAACTTCTGGTGCGGTTTGCGGTAATAAATGAGTCATTAGTCCCTCATTTGAATGAACGTTGGGCTCAATGATAGTGTCGATCGGCACGTGTCTCTCATTTACGGCTATTATAACAAAACGATTATAAAAATAATTGAAAAACTATTCAATCAATTAAATTACCGCTAGTTTTGTGACCAAAACCACGATTTATATCGCAATCCATTTGCCTATCATTTGATTCACTCATCCATTCAGTGGTGTCTTTGGATGTGTTGCCAATTGTCTGAAGTTTCTGTTCAATAGTATTTACCATCAAATTAACGGCTAATCTCTTCATACATACTCTACTGGTATAATCACATACCTGTCCACTGCTTCCGGGCTCTCCCGCCTTACAAGTCTTGAGATGTCTGTCCAAACTGTACTCGTATTTAGTCTTAAACCGACAGCCCGTATGTGGACACACATGAAAGTGTGGATGTCTTTTCATATGTCTAGTCATATAGAAACTACATTTACTCCTATAATGACAGCCGGGCTCTGAGCACGCAATCCATGGTATGTCCGGCAACTCATTGGGATGTCGTCTCAACTGATGCCGAGTTAAGGCATCCTTTTTGTTGAACTTCTGGTGATCGCAGCCGTCGAGTGAACACTCGTATAGTCTGTCCATTGAGTGAATCAATTGATTGATTATTAATTGCTTATCAAAAACACCACGAAATACATACCGTCCACTCATCGCATCATTTGTCGCGCTTTTCTGAGCGCTTGTGTCCATCAAGTGATGACCACTTCTTCGCGAGTCTCGTCTATGACTCGTGTTTTCATTAATAGCACTCAATTGGTGTCCATTTCTTGTGGTAGTCATCGCATACACCCACTCATCGCTCGTTTGACAACCGATTGATACAAACCTCTGATTGACACCTAATTTGTGTTTAAAATGATATATCAATTGAATTAAAAGTAATTTATTTATTAACTACAATAGACTTACGGCTAGTATTTTGTGATTCAATCACTAGTAGATGTGTTGACAAGCAATTGATATCACGTTTCAATGCGTTTATAATTAGATACAACTCTTCGCGACTTAATTGCGATAAATCATCAAAATTTTGGCTCATTTTTACCGCTAAATGAGTGTTGAATACAAATTAAACGACAATTTATTCACAAAAACACAACATTTTGTTTACAAATGAAATGACAGTTCACTGCAAACCATAACACAAATCACGTGATAAGCACACTATGAGTGCGCCAAATATAAATGGCATAAAATAATTGTTACTTAAAAGTTGGTTAAAGTTTTGA